ACTCACTTGGGTGAATGCTTCAGCAAGCTCTTCCTCGGCGATGGGATCATATCCGTCGTGATGGAGTAAAGGTGGTACAGACCAGTTGACGTAGTTCAGCTCTAGTGAGCTTACAATGTCTTGTACAGCTAGATCGAACCTCTTTCTAAGTTGTTTAGACTTTGAACGAGTCATGGGACCTAGTGGGACGACTGGTACAGGGTGTGGTAAAGGATCTGGTATTTGATCTAGTTCATCGGGTTGGACAAGATAATCGATGTCCGCATCATCTTTGTTTCCCTTTTGCTCATTTGCACTGCAATCAAAAGAGAGGCTCGTTTCTCTCTTTCTCACCTTTTTTTTTTCCGAATAACTAAGAGGTTCTGGGCCGAAGTCTATACATCCCCTCAGACCCGAGACCAGAACATGTTATATGGTTTCATGTAACTCCCCGACCGTCAACCTCTTAATGGGCCCCACGTTCACCACCAGCCCATGGGTCCACCTCTCGTAATGGGCCGCACGTTCTCTCACTAGTCACAAGAGCCCATTAATATCCGACGGCCGGTTTGCTACGTCCGGGAGGTTTAAAGTCTTGTTTACCGACCCTACAAATCACCACATGATCTTTCCCTATATTTTGGCCTCACTCACATAGTTCCGACAACCACTTCCCGGAAGGTCACCCGTAATTTTTCGGGAAGTGGTTGTCGGAACTGTGTGAGTGAGGCCAAAACACAGGGAAAGATCATGTGGTGATTTGTAGGGTCGGTAAACAAGTCTTTAAGCCTCCCGGACGTAACTAACCGGCCGTCGGGTGTTAATGGGCTCATGGGCCTAGTGAGAGGACGTGAGACCCATTAAGAAAAGTGGGCCCATGGGCTGGTGGTGAACATGGGGCCCACTAAAGAGATGGCGATCGGGGTGTTACACTTGTTCCAAGATCATTTTTGTTCGGTAGAATCTAGAATAGTGAGATGGTAGACCGGAAGGAGGTAGCTTCTTTTCGGTCTTATTTTTCAACAAGATCTATGTGTCTATATAGATCATGTTCCTGGATTAACAAAAATGTGCAAAAGCTGTATTTTCCTTTTTAATAATCAAACGAATTTGCAGAATAAGCCTATTATTTCAAAGGATGAAATAAAACCGTGGGGAAGATCTGTGCTTGAGAATTGGTGTCAAACAAGGAGGAGCTTGGAAGCAAAGAGAAATTGAGATGATGATACTTAAGCAAGAGACGACGCATATGGATATTTTTTTAGCTAAGCTCTGGTCTCTCTACCCAAATCGTGTAGATCGTGCTTTGTTGGGTGATATAGATGCATTTTGGTGAGATGTATAGTTTATAGTGGATAGGAAAGTAAAAAATGATAGAAAAGTAGTAGAAAGTATGTCAAACTGAAAGAATTATCTAACAAAGTTGGTCTAAACATAAATAACTCTTCTTTGTTTCCAAATTTTGAACTGTTGTAGTTTCAAAATTTGTAAACTGTTATTAACAATAAGTAATATATAAATATTAGTTTAAAAAATTCAATTAAAATAAATTATAATTTGAACGATGTGAATGTTATATATTTTGTAACTATATTTGTTCGACTGGATAGAGAAGTAGAGGTTAGATTTTCCTTTGTTTGGTTTGTAAGAACAAATTTAATGTTTTCTTAAATTTTCAAATAATTATGTAAAAATATATAATATTTTATTATAACTAGTTGCGAACATTGAAAGCTAGGGGTCTAACAAATAAACACAATTGTTAGATATAAAACCTTGCAACTTTTGAGATCATTAACAAATATAAACCGTTAGATGAGAAAACCAAAACAATCTCATTCGTTAGATTAAAACGATGATATCAATAATCACAAAAAAGTGGTTTGCTAGATGATATCAATTCTAGTTACCTAGGGCTGTCATCACGGGGAAATGAAAACTTAAAATAATTAACATTGTTAAATAACTTTTTCGAGTAGAAAATTGATTATAATTTTTTAACTGTATATTTTTTAATTTAATTTACAAATTTATTTTCTTTACCTTTTCTATATTATGATATATTAGATTTGTGAGACTGAGAAAACTTTCTTACAATTTTATCTTTATCCTTCAAATGATATTTTTCTAATGATATCGCTGCATTTTAATACTGATTATCCTAGATAGTCAAAAGAATTCAATATTTATGAATGGCCATTTTTTACTGTTAACGTGCCCCTTCTTTTGCTTTATTTAAAAAACAAAGCTGTCAACGCAATTATGAAATGAACTTCTAGCTAATGCCCTTAAAAGCATATCAAAGATTCCTGCCTTTTCCTTTTACAAAATCTAAGAAATTTTTTGGATACAAAGCTCAACTATTTCTAGCATAATACATGTTTCAATCACCAACGAAACATTAGTCTCATAAAACTAATGAGACAACTCTACAGATTCAACCAAATTCAACATAATATTATAGGAACATAAGCAATACCATAAGAAAGAATATGTTTCAATTTAAGAAAAAAAAGGTTTACAATGACAAATTATTGTCAATTAGACTTAAAAGAACATATATATGGTGTTTTGGTGAGGCATCTACATATGGCACGACTTTTCATTGGACAAAGATCAACATGAAGCAACTTCTTCTTCATGTATGCTTATGTTATATCAATCTTATGCTTTTATCAAAATATGAGCTATAAATTTAAGGGCGATCTTGCTTCAAATCACATTTCACAAATCACAGTATATATTAGAATCATATCCAATTGTATCTACAGATAGAATTCAACTATAAATACCAACGAATATTGTTGTATCAAAACACCAACCTATGATTAATAATAATAAATAAATAAATAAAACACAACAATTTGAAATAATGATTTGTAACTGATTCTTGTAGAAATTTAGAAGTATAATTAAACAATAAAAATTTAGTGAAGTCACTAATCAAACAATAAAAAAGGGAGTAGAAATTATAAGTTTAAAGGCTTATCAAAATATAAACTAAAATGAGGAAGATGAAACAAAACAAACCAGATGATGTTTGAGTGTAAATCTATGGCCATGTTACTACATTTTATATGAGTTGTATACTTTTTTGAAGTTAAATTAATCAATCAATAATTTTGTTGCAAATACAGAAATCGATTCAGTGACAAGAAGAGAACAATGTTAACAAGATATATGAAAGGTATTCACATAAAGCAAATTTCAAATCATTATTCTATTGAAATTTACAAAAAAGTAATAAGTATGCTGATAGTCAAAATTAATTACCTAGATCAATACATTGAAGATATAATCAATGCATGTATAAGATGGAAAACGACACCAAACAGAGGTTGAATAAGGAAATCAATAAATAAATCAGTCATAGTTAAACCAAGATAGTTAATCAATGAAAACTAATAAATCGAAAAAAGAATATACAGATCTTTTAAATCCCGGAGGTGTGAAACAATACTCAGACAAACAATACTCAGAGGTGGAAAAATTTTGGCGGGAAATTTTTGGCGGGAAATTTTTTTTTGGCGGAAAAATTTTTTGTCGGAATTTTTTGGCGGGAAAATTTTTGTCGAATATTTGACGGGAAATTTTTCGGAAGGAATATTCTTTTTGTTGGAAATAATATTCCTTTCTTAATCATGTGTTATAATAAATGAGGGTAATTTAGTCATTTTGTACATTGAAGAGGGTATTTTTGAAAATGGACACCTAGAGAGGGTACTTGTAGAAAATGGTATCGTAAAAAGGTTAGTTGTGCAAATTTCCCAGAAATATTTGGATTTAGTCTCCCAATAATAATGATGATCTCGATGTACCTTATTAACCATATAAAAGTTTATAATTTTTCATATTTGAAAAAGTTATTTTTGAAAATGGATAGAAAAGATGGGTATTTTTAAAAAGGGTATACCAAAAGGGTATTTCTCAAAAATTCTGATGTTTTATAATGAATATATATATATATTCAATTAAAAATAATATGACAAAAAATTTGATTATATTTACACAATATAAACCTAAATTATAATGGGATTTAGCGAGAAAAAAAAAAGTACTGAGAATATAAATTTATCTAATTTATGTATCACAAAATTCTCCAACATAAATGAGATAGGTTGAGACGAAACATGAATTCTCATTTAAAAACACGTATAAGAAAGGTGACAATAAAAATGAAATTTTTAAAAAATATTTCCAATATGAATTTAACTAATTTTTTCAATACTGCACATATGTTAAACTAATAAACAAAATAAAAAAAAATTAACAATATTTCATAAAAATTGAAAATTAAAACAAAAAACAAGATTAAATGAAATGAACTAAATATAAGGTAAATATGTTAAATTTTAAAATTGTTCCATATGAAAATTCCAAAAAATATATAAACCAAAAAATCAGAAACGAATATATAATAGTATAAAAATAATCATAACGAGAGATAAATTACGTCAAATCCAAAAAGAGAAAAACGTAAAACAAAAAAAAATTATGAAAATATATAAAAGGATAATATAACCAATAATAAATACAAAAATATGTCCGAAACCCATAAATCATTTTCAACTTTCAGGGCAACGTATTAAAAGGGTCCACAATATTAACATTTAAATCTATATTTGGTGGGAGCCCTAATTAATAACACATGTTTCTCTATGATACTCAAACGCACTTCCGTTTACACACACATCGACTTATACTATACACACTTAATTTATCAACTACTAATTAATCTAAAACTCAATAGGTTTTCTATACAAAAACAAGCGAAGATTAGAAAAAATAAAGTATGCTATAGTAAAAAAATAAGTACAAAACAAAATACGAACCAATTACTCATAAACAAAATAATAAAACTTACGCGCGGACAACCGACTAGTATACATATATAACAATTGTAATATGCTTTATAAAAGAAACTATATAGTAAATGGCGTGATATGTTATTGATGAAAATTATTATTCCCAATAATGGTGAAACGTATAGAAGTAACACTTTCTTAGAAGAAAAAAAAAGATCAACCGATCTTAGGGATTGTTGAAACATGGCCGTGGATATCTAAAACCACAAAGACCTTGTTGCAGCAAAAGTCGCTAATCCGACCATCTCCTGCGTGAAGGAGGATAGCTAACACATTCGGATTCTCTCTTTCGATTGTCATTTTCGCTACTTCTCCACTCTTTCCAACCAGTTCTGGCCATCTACACTTCTTTCCTAGAAAAAATATTAATTTGATTGTCACATTATAGTATTAAAAAAAAATGAAAATGAGAATATAAATATGAGTAAATTACCATTAGCACAACACTCTGGATCTTCGCAAGCGGTAACCAAACATGGAGGATAAGGAGACATCTCTACGTTTTTTTTCTTGATGATATTCTTAGGTTATATATATAGATCCAATTGTTATGTTTTTATACATGGAAACAAATTATAATTTTAATATTCCTTAATCACGAAAATGAATTATTGATTTGCTTTCCTAAATTTTTTTTTTTCATATTCAAAATCATTTAGCCATCATTGAAAATCGTTTGAGTAAAGAAAGAAATCAATTCTTTCATAGCTATGTTGATCACGTTAACGATCTACCTTAATTATGATTGATCAAAACATTATATAATATTTGATTTGATTTCCTTAATTTTTGGTTCTCGTATCTAAACTACAACCTTATGTGTTTACATATAATTAAAAGCATATAACAAAAAAAAAATCATTTAAGAAAAAGAAAGAAATCATTTACTGCCCTACGGTTTTTTTTTTCCTTTTTTTTTTTGATCATCAAAATTATATTATTTTTGTATTTTGACTGTTTTCTATATATGTTGTTCATTTATACTATAATTTCTGTAACTGTTCTATGACTGTTTCTTGTGCTCCACGCGGTTTTTTATTTTTTTCCTGACATCATGCAGTCTTTCTGTCTTTGTATTATAGAAAGAAGGGTACTACACATTTATTTATGAACCCTTATGGTTTGTAGAATCTCGTGTTTAATAGATTGAGTTTCAGATTCGATATATCAAGTTCTGTAGCCAAAGAGAATCCTCTGTTATTTAGTTTTTAGGAGATGGTGAGGAACCAGAAATTAAACATCATAATTTTATAGAGACATGAACTAATTCTGACACATTATTTCGTAGCATAAATAACAATAGGGCTTTTCACAGAATGGCTTCCATCCGACCATATCAAATGTGCTGAGGCAACTTTGTCGGCTTGGGGACCTTTGCCTGAAACCACAACCGTGAAAGACCTCTTATTGTACATAGATTTCATGGACAAGACATCTGGAATGACCCGGATAGTGAGTTCTGATCCGAGTACCTTGGCTTTGTAATTCGAGTTTGCCTTACCGACGTTTGTTACGGTTCTACGGAAAGTCAGGTTGAACGGTTCTGTTGCCGCGACTTTAGCCGTCATGGAAGGGTAGTTGAGGTTTCTTGCTAATGATTGGCTCTGTCCTTCACTGCAACTGCTGTGTTTCACCCGAAATGAGTCTTAATATCTTTCCCGTGTAGTTCAAGCCGCAAAGGAAGGTGATATGGTCGGATTTGGTAAGTTCATAGACAAGTCCTGGGTGAACTGCAGCTATCGGACTGACATGGCCAGCTCCATAAGCAAACTCGGCCATATCGTCGGAGGGAGATGTAGATGCTTTCATTGGCTGAGCTGAAAGAGACCCAAAAAAAACAAAAACAGAGTATGATTAAAACCTTTCTTGCATCACAAGAACGTTATTATGCTACCAAAATAAAATGACAAGACTGGACGTTATTTTGCATACCCGTCGTCATGATGGCTGATTGGATCATGGAAGCAGACCAGCGTGGATGAAACGTCTTTAGGAAGGCGGCGACACCAGAAATGTGCGGACAAGACATTGAAGTTCCACTTATTATAGAATACTTAACATGTCTTGCGTCTGATTGGCTCAGTGGACGGTTAGGAGAATAAGCAGCAAGGATCTCTGATCCAGGTGCTGTTATATCCGGCTGCAATTCAAATTCACATTCAGTTAGACACCAGAGAGACCGATCGATACAAGTAAATTGATCTTCTATGGTTCTATATGTACCTTCAAGATATCAGGAACGATGGTGTTGGGACCTCGAGAAGAGTAGGACGCTGTGATAGGAGCTGTCTGGTTAAAAATCGTCTCACTTTTCAGAACGGCAGCTTTGGCGTTTCTGAGCAAAACAAATGGAGCTTTGAGATGGGTAATTGTAATGATTAAATTATAATAAAACAGAGAGAAGCCATTTACTTTGTCAATTTCATGTAGGAGAGGACATAACTATAGTGCTCTTCAGAGCCGGCCCAAGCCACAAGCTAGTGAACCATGAGCTTGCGGCCCTGTTATATTCATTAATATTTCGGCCCTTAGTTTACAAAAATATTGTTATAGCTCTATCGGTTAAGTAGTTTGTTCAAGTTCTACAGGTCGTAGGTTCAACTCTACATACCTACAATTATGCTTATATTTTATTTTTTTTGGCCTTTTTTCCTTTTTTGCTTGTAGCCCTAAAATTGTTAGCTACGGCTCTGGTCCTCTTCCGACAGAACAGAGACTGAAAACGAGAAGATCGAGGCGTAATCTGCTTGGCTTCTCTTAACAATGGCAGCGACGGCACCCACTGATTGAACTTCATCCAAATTTTGAGAGGAATCGCATAACAAGATTTTTCCTCTGACACGCTTAGTGTCTAGACAACCTGGTGTGCAATACCTAAAATCACAAAAACCCATTTAAATCCACAATATGAAGAGCAAAATAAAATATGAAGATTGTCTTGTGATGGAAGTTACCTGGCGGTTTCCACATCGCACCTATTTGAAGCTGATCCTCCATACACCAGAGGGTACTTTGTTCCATTAAGTTCAAACGAATTTACTGATTTTCCCTGTTTTGCAACAAACATTAATGTTATAATAAAGTAAAAGTATGTATGATGATGGTTGACTTAAAAAAAAATGAGTTTCTTGGTACTCACGAAAACTGTCTTGTCTTGCCATCTCCGAGGACAACTTTGGTGACAAACGCACGGTTCGTATTACTAGCAGCAATGGATGCTGTATGTGACCCATGGCCATCATTGTCCCTAGCTGACTCCATTCCATAGTACCGTGCTCCAATAAGCTTGCTGTGCACAATAAACATATGATTCACATTATATGAAATTGACATCTTTATGTAATTCAAGTTTGTCGCTCGTTTGATAAATTTTGAGTGGATTCATACTTTTTGCAAGAGAAGTTTTTGCCTCCTTCACAAGCACCTCTCCATTTGTTAGGAGGAGGAGGAGAAAAGCCTTTGTCGCTAAAGCTTTCCGATTCTGGCCAGAGATACCAGTGTTGATCACTCCAATGATGATATTGCTCTCGCTCTCGGTGCTTGAGTTTGAGTGCACGCTTTGGCCTTCCTTGAGACCAAGAAAGTTCCATGAAGATGTCGTTTCGAGCTGATGTATCATTTAGGAAACACCGACACCACTCCATCCATACCTAATTACTAGGATTTAACCCGTGGTACACCACGGGTCCATAGTTTAATATATTTCTTTGGTTGATCATTTTCGTATTTGGTTTATATAGTTTAGTTTTATATATGTTTATTTCATTTAATTTAATATAATTTCATGAATTTGTATTATAAGTAGATTCATAAATATATGTGGTAAACAGACGGTATATCACGAGACGATTTTGTTGTAAATAAAAAAATATATTTTAACTTAACCCGTAAAATATTTTAAATATAGACAACCCGCAGAAAAATATATCATATTTATGTAAATTCAAAGCCGTTCAATCATATTTATGTACAATATTATTATATTTTAAATATTTGTATAACTAAAATATTAATAATACTATTAGTTTTTGTAGAATTTAAATATTTTCATTATTTTAATATTTTATAAAACTTAAATAAAATATCATAATTTTCAGCTTATTAAAGTTTTAATATTTATCATATTTTAAACTTGTTAAAAAGTTAAAATTTATAATATTCTGAAACTTTTTTAAAATTTTATTTTTCTTAAATAAAGAACCGGATTAAACTAATAAATTTTTTAATTTGGATACTTGAGAAACCAAAGTTCATGCTCATTTGTAGTTGTAAACATATTAGTCTTATTTATAAAGGTTTTGAACTATTATCTAAAATTTCATATCTTATGTATACGTTGTACATATATTTTTCCTTTATTGATTGAGTTAAATACGTCCATTTTCAAAATTTTAAATTGCAAAATGTGTGGAAAAAAATTTGTATTTTTATTATAAATATATTTTATGTAATAATATAAATTTAAAACAAATAAGAGTATATAAATATATTGAACATATATTCAGTTTATTAGAGAGAGATTTTAGGAAATTTTTTGATGTAAGAAATATTTGTTTCCAATTTTGCGATTTGCTTATGATTTAATTACAAAATTTACTTTTAAGTTTTGTTATTTATTCAAATGGCAAGGGTTTGATTTTGTAAATATTACAAAATAAAAGGTTATAAGCCAAAATAGATTTTAGTACAAAATGTACTTCAAAAATGTTAAGATAGATTATACGATAAGTTATTAAAACATACAGAATGTTAAGTTAAGTACTGTATAATAGTTTAATACATTGCATAATAATCCCAATAAGTACTCTTATGATTTTATTTTTAATTTTATCAAAGTTGATAAAAAGTACTACTAGTAGTAATTAACCATATTTATAGTAGTTTATTAATCATTAATGTAGTATTTTCAATAAATATACGATGTTAAGGTCGTACATGCAATTTTTTTCCTTTCAGACTCAGTAAGCCAAGCCGCAAAACCCGTGAAACTCCTTTTGTAGCTCCTCACGAAACGATTCTCAACAGAGCTACAAAATATATATATTAAGTTTTCGAGTGAGATCAATTATTTAAAGGCCTTTTAGCTTATCACTAAAACCAAAATATGAATATATGTAGAAAAAAATATTAATTACCATACATTTCTCGAAGGACACTCGTGTAGTCAACGAGATGTGGGAATGCACCCATGTATATTATATAGACCTGGAACATCATCATAATCTTATATAACTCGTATGTAACATAAACAAAAAGCAAAATATATAACGAACAGTTGTGCTACCTCTTTTTTTCCTTGGTCATTCCCTGAGCAGAAGACATTGAAAACCAAGAGAGAGAGAGAGAAATGAAGAGGAAAGACAATTTCGACATTTTTTCATAAATTTAGGAGAATGGAAAAGCTGAATATTTATAGGGGATCGTTTTTTTTTTTAAGCAATGTTTTTAAAATGTGTCGTTAACCCAAAAAAAAAAGAGTCAATAAGTTCAATCA